TCAGGTGATTCCGCAAGTTTTCTGTTTCCATTTCCTTGATGGAGGGTTCCCGAGAATGAAACGAGTCCTTGGATCCTTCGCCGAAAATCACAAATTCGTTGAGATGGTTGAGGACATTCACGTTATCCTTTTCTTATTGCCGCAATCGACCACCAAACTTCTCCTCGATCATTTCTGCTAATTGACGGGCCAATGGGGCGGATCCTCCTGATCTGATGCCCATACTGGTTTGGCGGGTATGCCCCCTTAAGTGAATGGAGATACTCCTGTCGATGCTATCACCTTGGTCCTTCGTTCCAAAATGAGAAGGAGCTTGTTGATCGAGGTTTTTCTGCTAGAGAGCCCTTTCTTTCTGTCGAGTATTCACCATGGTCATTGTTCTTTAGAAAAACTAATCGTTTTCCATAGACGACGCTAGATTGTGCGTGCCGATTTTTGCACAATAGTAGAAGTAGGAATAAATCTCTCCCACAATGAACTGTGGTTCGACAATATAGTAATTTTGACAAAATGGAAAGTTTGCTTTCAGGATTTCTGATCGCCTCTGGCTGAGATTTGACCCATCTGAAAGTGGGTTTTGACAACAAGAAGTAGGTTGAGAGGGACAAAGAGGCCCTAAGGACTAGTGATGAATTATTTGTTGGGTCGCTTAATCGATCCTGGAAGACGATGAGGAGATCCTGTGACACAGAAAAATAAGTTAGAAGGGTGTCGGAGTGCTCTCCGGCGTATCCCCTCCGACGATTAAAAAATCAGTTCTTTGAGAGAGGGGAAGAAGAAAACACTGTGTAGTTCCTTTTAGAAGTTTTTACATACCAATCCGTTTTTGAGAATTATTTATACCTTCAAAGCTCATGATTGCTAATAGTCCACCCAGCAGGTGTTTGTCAGAGATGGGGCAGTGTGCCCCTCACCTTTATAGGGAATGAGCTTGGCTTTAACTGATCGGGATGCTGAGCATTTAAAGCTCACTCCTCGGTTTGCCGAGCATTTAATTTCCCCCTTCTCAACAAGGATGCATTAAATGCCCAGGTATGAAGGTCTTTAATGCACTTCACTTCTCGGCCCTCATGCCTTAATTGATGTCTCATCAGGAGGAGAATTCATTAAATGCTTACTTGCTCTAGACATGTGTCAACAGGGGTATCCAAGTCTTTTTGCTACTGATTTGATATCACATTCCACGTGTCCACCCCCTTCTTGGTTGTATGTTCTGCATTCCTACGCCTCTTGACACCATGGAGTAGAAAGTCTTCATGATGGCAAGCCTAGCCTAGCCTGGCCTAAGCTAGTCATCTGTCAATCATTAGCTTTTATAGAAGCGGAGGAAAAGTGGGATCCAGCATGTAGAAGGAACACCTTGGCGCCGAGGGATATTTGCCTATTTTGGGATAGAGGGTTTTCACCGAGCCGAGGATATATGTGTCGCTCGCGTCGTTGGGAGGGTCCCTCGGCTCTGAGCATTTATCATCTCGGTAGAAGGGGATGAGCTATGCCGAGGACACGTGGCCATACTTGGTTGGGAATATGATGATGCCAAGAACACATGTCGTCGATCTGTTTCCTTCTTGAAATATCCCATCAATTTCTTTGATACGTAAACTGTAAAAGGTTCTCAAAGGCTATAAACAAGATCTCTAAGTTGAGCATTTGAAGATCTTTAGAACATCATGCAACACATTTTGTGTAGAGTTTAATTAGGATCATATGACAAAACTATCGAACTGCTGTATTATAAAAGGAATAAGTCATATGAGAAGGTCTGCTGTATTGGATTTGAGCTTTGCTATTCACAAAGAACTTGAATCTTTGTAAAGAAAGTGCGATACTTGCATCTCAGTCTGAATTATTTTCGTATCAAATTCATTATTTTGTACTTTACTTTTCAATTTTATTACAATTACACCATCAAAAACAAATAATATATGGTCAAGAATACGAAAAACATGAGATAGAATTGAAGTGAAAGGAACCATATGAAGCCCAACATAAGGTAAAGTTTTCATCTTGGTGTTTAGTCTTTAGACCCAAGTTCAGTGGAGATTTGCATAAACTCATATATCTCAACAAGGTCAAACTTATAATGTCCGATTTTACATTTCTCTCTAAATTGACTTCGATAAGCTAGACTATTTATTTATTTATTTTTGGTTCAATAATCAGGAATATTTAGGCTAACTTACCCACGCATCATTGGGTTATTTGATGAAAAACATAATAAAACTATTTTTAAATTTTTTGATACCATACTAAAAAGTTAAAAAAAAAAAACTCCAAAAATAATGAATTCAATCTCAAAAAGTGATAATCTCCGCCCTAAAAGGCGGTAAGTGAATTTTAAAAATGATAAGCGAACCCAAAAAAAAAAGTGCACTCAAAAAATTAGTAAATTCTACCTAAAAACTAATACAGATACCCAAAAAATGATAAATGGTGCGGTACTAACAAAAAATATTCATCAAAACCTTGCTTGATACGCAAACAATTCAAACTATACTCCAATATTGTCTTCCCCATCTGAAGATCTCCACCAAGATTACCCTGACAACTACCATTCGCAACTTTATCACTTACTGTCGAATAAATGCCAAAAAATATTAAACCCACCACCAATAAGTCAAATACACTATTCTTTGACCAAATCACCGTTGACGTAAACATAAGAGCTCGATGGATCATTGATAATTGACATTTTCTTAGTCTCCGATATGATGGTTTCAGGTCTTGAAAGAGTCAAGAGGTATGGGATGTAATCAATTTTGATGGTGCCAACTTTTACCCTTACAATGGTAAACTAGGGATCGAGTGGATTATAATGAACGGATGTTATTGATTCTCTAAATTCAAAAGGATAAAATTAGAGGTGGCAAATTGGTAGGTTGGACGGGTTATGATTTGAGTTAAATTAGATTGGGTTAAAATAAATTCAATCTATTTTTTATTCACGTAGTAAATGGATTATAATGGGTTGGGTTTATAATGAGTTGAGTAAAATCAATTAACCCATAAAATAATTAAAATTCTTAAGAGACACATTAGAACACAAAAAATATATACACACACATATTAATAGTACACCAAAATATAAACATACAAACACACACAAATACACCAAAACAAACACAAACTAATACATTTAAAATATACACGATAATATGCTAAAAATACATACACATATACTAACACATTTAATAAAACAAAATACACATATAATGAGTCAGAGTCAATTGTGGGCTATGGGTTTGTCATGGGTCATGGATCATGGGTCGTGGGTAGTGTATTAATGTGTATGTTTTTGGTGTACTAGCATGTCTATATTTTAATATATTAGTATATATGTGTGTATTTTTTTGTGTAATAGTGTGTGTATTTTTTTAGTATATTAATATGTTTATTTAATTTTATTACTTGTACTATTTAATAAAAGGATAAATACTCAACTCAATGGGTATCCATTTAATCCGTTTAACTAAAATGAATCATATTATCCAATCAATTTAGAATCCATATTAATTAATATATGTATCCAACTCATTTGTATATGAGCGAGTTAGTCGGATAAAATATACATGTGGGTCGTGTAGTAAGATTTGATGAAAACATGAACAAATATTAGTGTCAGGGTTCTATTGTAAATAATTTTTGATATTTATGGTGTAATATGAAAAATTAACGTTTAAAGATATAAATTGAGAATATTAAAATCTTTTATGGTATAAAATGTAATTTATCTTATTTATCTAAATAACAAAAGGCAAATGTACAACATTGTAACCCCAAGATCAAGACAGCTGCCATGAATTGTTAAGGGGGCGTTGATTCACCAGAAGAGATGAAGTCTTCAAGCCAGCCACCCAAACTTCTTATTGTAAACGTGCTGTATATTCCCGCCTCCAACAAAAAAAAAATGGATTTTAATGTAGCGCCAAGTAATCACGTTGAGCAACTGTCTACTAATCAGACAACAAATGGATAAATGGATTTCATCTATTATTGATAATGGAACCAACCATCCGAGCTCAGCGCGGGTTCGACTCGTTTTGAGCTCGTTTAATTTCGGATCATTTAGTTAAATAATTTTTTAAGCTTATTTAAAAAACAAATTCTAAAGACTCGGCTTAAATTCGACACGTTCGATTCGTTTATGTGTAAATATTCGGATTTGGTTCAGATTCAGCTCGTTTAGGCTCGGCTCGTTTTCTATCAATAAGAAAATTAGTCAAATTTGAATAATTTTTTAAACTCATTTATAAAAAATGAGTTAGATAAACTCGGTAACTGTCTATTTATAAAATTAACTTTTATTTTGAAAAATTACACTAAACGGAGCCTAAATAACTATTTGTCCATGTCATATAATAACAATTCTATATAGAAAAATGGGGTACATTTTATCTATTTAATATTTTTTTATTTGACGGTTACACCATGGTGACACCCAATATTTACTCCCACCCCAGCTCGAGTAACTATTACATATAACGGTTATTATCTTATATATTCAGTGATTATTTGAAAGAATAGAATTTAATTTATTTAATTATTAAATTAATTTTTAATTGTTGTATCACCTAACATTATTGACATAATGTGACTGCGGCGATTGGAAAAACATGAAAAAATTTTCCTATGCGAGAGAAAACTAAACCCACAACCCTGTTTTGGCCACTGAATAATTGGGACAGAGAGGTTTATTCAGAGACTTTCGGAATTACCAAAGAGAAAAGGAAAGGAAAAGTCTTGTCAGTTTTTTTTTTTTAACAACTTGTTAGTCGATGCGTTGGGGGAAGACTTTCGAAACCCACAAGGAAGCGAAGACTAACATGGGACGACGGAGTCTAGAGAGGCGAATAGTCAACAATAACCGGTGGCACACGTCGGCCAATGGTTTATAAACTTCCCCATGTCTCTCTGTTTCTCAACTCCTATCTCTAAAAGTCTAAAACACTCTGTCTCTCTGTCTCTCGGTCTGTTCTTCTTTTTGGGGTTGTTGAGGTTCTCTTTGGAGGTGCTTTGAATCCGTGATCAGAAAGATTGCGTTTTGTTGAAGGACACTTCTTACCTTTTCTCGTTTTCATTCACAAGAAGCTTTTTGAGAGAAATGGCAGTAAGTTTACATTCTGTTTTGTTTCTATTCTGTTGTAACATCGTTTTTTTTTTTTTTTTTATTTTTCTGAACTGCTTTTATGATGTTTTAAGTTCAAATGACACGAAATCAGACCTGATAAAAAAAAAAGTTCGAATCAGACGAAATTCTCATGTTTTGGGCTGCATTGTGCTGTTTGTAGAACTTTGTTTTTTAGAATATTTTATGGCTTTTGTTCATATGGTGTTAGTAAATTTGTTTTGTTCTGCTTGGAATGGTGGTTGTTGTTCATCAATGATCCAATGTTAGATTGAGTGTTTTGGTATTATTTAATGAATAAAGGATTTGGATGCTTTGAAGATAATAAGACAAGCCGGTTACTTATTTATACTGGAAGAAAAAATAATTATTATGTCTGAATCTGGACGTTGTTAAGTGTTTGATTGGTAAATTGAGTCTATATTGGCATGACAGTTTGATTATCTTGGGAAATCATCGATGTTTGATTGGTAAATCAAGTCTAGATTGGCATGTTTGTTGTGGTGAAATATTTGATTATGTTCGAAGCTATATAATCAGGAACTCAGTTTCGACAGTCCTTTATTTGTCAAGGTTTTTTTGTGACACCACTAATCTTTACGCTTCGTTTGATAGGAATGATGGAAAATAAGAAGGATGGAAAGTAAGATGGATACATTTTCTATATTGCAAGAATGAAAAGTATAAATAATATATTTTCCTTCCTTTGTGTTCGGTTGGATGGATGGAAAATAAAAATGACTAATTTTTTTTTGTGTTGATTAAGATTAGAGTAACAATTGAGTTGTGTCGTGTCAGATTCGTGTTGAGTCATAAAATTATAAATTTTTTATATTTCTTGTTCGCATATCAATTCATTTTCAAGTTCGTGTCGAGAAATAATCAAGTTCGTGTCATAAAATTTGCGTCGAGCTCGAGTCGTGTTATCTGTTGAGTTAAAAATTTTCACCCCTATTTAAAATAAAAAATATGTTTTTTTAATTTAATTTTAAAAATTTTTAATATATATATATATATATAATTAATATATACATAATATATAGACAAATAAAGTACATCTTAACACAAATAATTAACTTTCCATCCGCTTTCCTTACGATTTTAGAGGGATTAATTTTGGTGAGTTAAAAAAAAAGTTAATCTATCCACTTTTTCATCATTTCTTACCAAACATGATGTTTTATTTATCCCTCCAACTTTTCATCCTTTTATTTTTTTATCACACTAAACGGAGCATTAGGGAGAGAGTAATATTATTGACTAGGTTTGGTCCAAATCATATGGATTGTTTGTGTCTCCACCACTAAAAGTAGTTTGGAACTTCCTTCCATTTGCTTGGTCAGAACAAATTCATGGTATATCATTTACCCAAAACTAAATTCATGGTCAATCTTTGAAGTTTGTTGTATTTCTTTGTTTTTGATGTTTTCCATTGTTGGATGGAAATAGGCAATAATGTTGTCGTGTTGTTCTACAAACTGAACCAGAACTGCTCATTATTGCAAACAATTCTTGATATACTATATGGACATGTTTCATTTTTCATGATACCATAGTGAAAGATAGACTTAATGTACACTTGAAAATTGGAATGTCTTGGTAGATGGAAAACCATAAAAACAGATAAATGATAATACCTCTGGCCCTGTCAAGAATTTGTTTATTGGAAAAATGGGAGTGGTTTTCAAGATGAAATGGCTAATAGTATTTTTTGGCAATTGGCATTGTCACAGCAGCGTCCAAATGTACCACAGTTTGGTAACTGGGAAAATGAAGGTGCTGTTCCTTACACAATCTATTTCGACAATGCGAGGAAGGGTAAAAAGGGTGGGAAGATGATCAACCCAAATGACCCCCAAGAGAACCGTGATTTGTTTGCAAACATTCCTCCTCTAGATCAAGCTCCTCCTTCCAGAATTGGAACCGATCCAGGGGAACCAACTGGTCGTAGAGCAGTTAGGCCAACACATGAGCGTCCAGTGAGCAGCAGGGAGGATGGTAACCTTAGGCAGTTCACTGATTCTCCAGCGCGTAATGCAAATTTGGGCAATAGACATTCTAGTGAGTCAGTGCATCAATATAATGGGGGCCGTGGATCAAATTCTGGTCGACCTGTTAGGCAAAGTGCAGGATCTGAGCATAGCATTGACCGGTCCACAGACCATCCACATCACCAGGCAAAGCTTATGGGGAAGGGCAGTGGATCTCCTGCCTCGGAAGGAAAGAACTCGTATGACAGTAGCCATGGTACTCCTGGAAGATCCAGACTCAAGCCAGTCACTCGGCGAGATGAAAGTGTAAGTTTCATCGCTAATTTTCAATCATCCAAACATAATAAAGCACAATTTTGGAACCATTTGTTTGATTAACTCCCTCAATTGTCTAGCATCTGTCATGCATAAGCCTGTCTCCCCTGGAATAATTCCTGTTGTAACGGCAGGTTGATAAAGCTGCTGCAATTCCAAGATTTGGAGACTGGGATGTGAACAACCCTTCATCAGCTGATAACTACACTGATATTTTCAACAGAAAGCGACAGGAAAAGCAAGCTGAGGGTGGGAATTCGACAAGCACAGTTACTGATCCATCCTACAACCATATGAAGAAGCAAAGTACCAATGGTAATCAAAAGGTATGCGGATTTTTACTATTGTCAATCAAATGGCTTCGTATGTAGGGGTGCAATTCAGATGGGTTGGCTGGATTGAGAGGTCAACCTGGGAGAAAATTTTGATGCACTTTGGTTTGGCATTCATGAGTCATCTAATTCATATGCTTTCTCTTTCTCCTCTTTTTCTCAGGGATGCTGCTTTCCATGGTTTTAAATGAGGACCATCCTAGGATGAGAAACTGGTTTTTGACCTGTGAATGGCCTTATGCAGAGAACTTGTGGAGCTATGCATTCTTTCTACCTATTAGTGTTCCTTTTGTGACAATAAAATTGAAGTTTTGATGTGTGTACATTTTCTTTTTGGGCGTTGTCTTCTCTTCTAAAGGCTTTCTTCTGGTTGATAAGTGTGACATTTATTTTCCACATTCCTAATTGTAAACTAGAGACAAATTCTTCTAATATGTTCAATATATGCTTCAAAATTCTCTAGACCCTTTAGACTTCTCATGTTTTTTTTGTTAATCGTGTTGTCGAGGAACCAAATTGCAGTATGAATTTTCAGAAAAATGAAAAAACAATGGCGATTAAGCAAATATAAAGCTGTTGGCTGACCCCCAGGCTTATCCAAATTTGGTTATTTGTTGATGGATGTTTTGCGGAAGAAAGGTGCCAAAATGAAGCATTTGATCTCTTTCTGATACACTTAACATTGACATATGGTGTAGATTTGGGGCTTGGGGTTGCTCAAGGAAATGCATTCAGGGGTGCTTTCAGAGATGCATCCGACGGATCCAAGTTCCCTTTACCTACATTTTCTCTCGCTAATAGATCATTTGCCATCTATAGAGTGTAGTTTTGGAGGCAGTTGCTGGATATGAATTCATTGACAAGGTTAACAACTTAACATTGAAGCTGTGGAGTTGAACTGTGTCCAAACTTATTTTAATCAATATACCCTAACCAATGACATCAACTTCAGTTGCTGAACCTTCCTCTCTATGTTCACCTTAAATGTAAAAATGTTAGATGTATCCCTCCCTGCAAAAGAAAAAATAACTTCAAGTGTACTGGTGGTGTGTGTGGGGGTGTTTGTGGGTGGTTGTGGGGGGGGGAGGGGGGGGGACCCCTCAATTGGGCCAGGTTTGGGCTACTGGTAACCTTTTTATTTGGACAATAGACTACTGCTAGTGCTAAGTTTAGATCTCTTTGATTAGATGTATGATATTATGAAATACATGATACCCCTCCACTTTTATTCTCCGGCAACTCCACTCCATTTTTCTGTCCATCAAAGATTCGACAACCAAAGAAGTGAAAAAAGAAGAAATTGAGATATATAAGAAAGTGGGAGATGCATCCAACAATCCCAATTTGGGATAAGTTGCTATTCATGTCTAACACTCAATATGTCACTGTGATTCAAATTGTCCGACTTTCTTTTTCTTTTCTTTCGGTGAAAATTGATGTCAGTTCTTCTTCATGGAATCATGTTGATAGAAGGAAGAAAACTCCTTATGCAATAGTAGATTTGTCATAGGCCATATCACCGGCTTAACCGTAGTGGACCCCCAATGGGATGCAATAATGGGGAGCTTTTACCCCGTGCATGGGGTTATACAAAAATATAATTAAAAGATAGTTGTTTTTAAAGTATTTTCTAAACTCAAGCACTTTTAAAAATATCAATTGAAATAACGTTTTTNTGTACAAAAATATAATCAAAAGATAGTTGTTTTTAAAATATTTTCTAAACTCAAGCACTTTTAAAAATATCAATTGAAATAATGTTTTTTAGATCAAAATACGTTAATCGAAGTAACGTTTTTCTATTAGAAGATAAAAGGACATTTAACACCACTAAAAACGTCCATTAAACTGACATTTTTAGTGGAGGGGGGCAAAAACCTCTGATACAAAAGTTTATGGGAGAATTATTCTATCTTGACCTCATGAACTTTCCTCTCTTCTTCCTTAACCTTGGGAACTATCAATTTAAGAGCACCATTCTTCATCTTAGCCTTGATCTGATCAATCTTGTACACATTCGGAGGTAGTTCCGCCCTGCCCGATTATATCCGCTTGTGCTCATCCTCCGATTCCTTCTCGCCTTCCCTTTTGACGATCTGAGTGTTCTAATCCACCGTAATCTTCACCTTGTTCTTGTCTACGCCAAACATGTCAATTCAAATGTACAGAGCATCCTTATCTTCCTTCACGTTCCATCCTCTCAGCGATCCAGAATCCATTCCACGAGGTGATGAGAGAAAAGGGGTCTCCATCAAACAATGTAGTTAATCACATATTAAACTTCAAAAAATCTAACAAAAACTTCAGAAAAAAAGAGAGGATGAAGGTCAATTGATCGGAGGAATGGAACAGAACATAAGTGATTGAAAATTATTTAGCAAATATGCTTTGAGAGAATTACATTCAGACCCTTGAAATTTGTCACTTAATCATTTAGATCCCTTGATATTTAAAATATATTTAAAATATTATATATAAATCCCTTAAAGTTTATATGCGAGTAACACTTATACCCCCTGCTATAAATATATCACTTAATAAATTACACTCAGACCTTCTGAAGTTTATAAACATATATTACTTAGACCCCTTAAGTTTAAAATGTTATATTTATATTGTCTATTAGAATTTAATTTGATCATTTAAATGACCAAATTAAAATACCAAACTATCTCAATTAAAGCTAAAAGATATTGTGTCAATTACAATTTGATCCCTTGTTTAATTTTTTATTTTTATTTTAATAAATAGTATAATTATATACTAACTATGATTTTTTTTAAACAATTAGATTTTTATTTTTGGTTTTATTTGAATAAATGGTATAATAGAACATGAATTTTGAATGTTAAATTCATGTTCTATTATGAATGATTTAGACCCCTTGTTTATTTTTTAGTTTTATTCCAGTAAATAGTATAATTGTATATTAATTACAATTTTTTAAGAAAAAATTAAAATTAAAATTTTAATTTTATTTCAATAAATGATACAATATAATATGAATTTTGCTTGTAAAATTTAAAATATTTGATATTCTATCTTTGATTAGAGTATTTTTTATTTAAATATAATATTTTAAATTTAACAAGTCTAAATATTATATACTTATAAACTTCAGGAGGCTTTAAGTGTAATTTATTAACGAAAATATTTACAATAGAGTTTAAGTGTTACGCGCGTACAAATTTTAGGTAATTTGTGTGTAATATTTTAAATGTCAAAGATTTAAATGATAAATTTCAAAGAGTTTATGTGTAATTCTCACATAAGCTTTTGTATCAAACGTTCTTGTCCCCTCCACTAATAACGTAAGTCCAACTGACGCTTTTAGCGGAGTTATATAACTTTTATCTTGCCACAAAAAATTAGTTGATTTGATGTTTTTACTTAACAACATTCCTTGTCTTATCGTTTAAAAATTTTCATTTCAAATAACGTTTTTATAATTATATGAGCTTGAAAATTCTTTTAAAAATAATTATTTTTTGGGTATATTTTGATACAACCCCCGTTGGGGTAAAAACTCAATAATAGGCCCCTCTTTTTTCTTATAGTGGCCTATTATAATATGAATAACTTAAATTAACTGAAAAATATCAAATTACATTTAAATTTAAAATATTTTTTAAAAATAATTACTTAATTTTTTTAATATTTATATAAAAAACATATATATTTCGAATAAAATTATAATCGGATCGGATATAAATATATCAAAATTTAAATCTATGAAATATAAAATAACGGATTCAAATTCAAGTTTGGATTATCGATAAAAAATATTAATTCATATTCAGCTATTCAAATTCAAGTTTAGATCAAAATCTAATTATTTTAAGGTCTACTCAGAACCAGAACTGATAATCAAACATAGTTATTCGAGTTTAGTTCAGATTTTCCTCGTTTTGGACTCGATTCGGCGTCAGTTTATTTTTTAAATTAGTTGGGTTTGAACAATATAATATTTAAGTTAAGTTATTCAAACTCAGCTCGAATTTGGCTCAATATATTTAGAACTTGAACAATTTTTAAAACTCGTTTAATAAAATAAATTCGATAATCTCGGCTCGAAATTGTAAAATTTTCACTTTCAAAAAAACAAAAAAAAACTTACAAAATTTTTAAGAGTTGGGCTCGGGTATTATTATAAGGAAGGGGGACAGAGTTCGAACTTCGAACCTATGGTGAGAAGATCCAACAGCGGGCGGACCTCAAGCGCAAACACGCGCGCCAGTACGCTTGTGAGGTTACTGACAACAGCCATGGCCCTTCAATGGCCCCTTCGTCTCCTTCGTGTACTTCACGTCCTACATGGAATATAGAGACGTGTCCTGTTTTGTGGCCTCACCGACCCGATTTCAGAAAACACCAAAGCCCTAGCTAGAGGCCTAGACACGGAAGACCTTAAAGACAGACCCAATTCTACTTTCGTCTTCTGCTTCGCCATTTTCAGTACCACATAAACCTTGAGAATCAGGTATGATGATTGCTTCATGTAATCTTTCTGTTTTTGTTTTTTTGGTTGAATTTATGCCTTTTTTGTGGTCGTTTTAGGGTTCTGTTTCCAAATCTAGGTTTCGATGTCTTTTTTCTTTGTTTTTATCGGAAGATGTGGTCTACTGAGTCTTGTGTGTCTTGTTTATGTATTAGAGTTGTGTGTGTTTTGATTATCTTTTCTTTCTTTTTAGGAATTTGATTTTGTAACTGGTTGCGATGATAAGAATACTTGCGATCTTTTGCACGGCTAGGGTTTGGAAGTCCTTTTTTTGGGCAAAACTGATTTTACAGATTTTTTTTTTTGGACTGTTAGGTTTCGAAATTGGACAGTTTTCTCCTAAGATTGGATTTTAATTCAGTTGATTCGTGCATTCATGGTGAAAAATGTTTATATTTTGAGTTAGGACACCTGAATCCTGATTATTTGAAGGTTTCATCTGACGATAGCTCAAGAGAGTACAAAGTTTTTCTTTTTTTTGAAGTGTTCTACAGTCTAATGACTCATAAATTTCGTGTAATTTTCTTCTTAGATTCGGTTCAAAAGTCAGAAAATGTTAGTTCAAGTTTGAATTTTTATATCATGATTAATAAATGAAATTACATGAAGTTTAGAGTCGATAGCCGACACAAGATTTTGGGAATTTGATTTATCTATTGCTAGGTTTGAGGGTAGCATTGAGTGTTAGAAGTGAAAAAAACAGATGGGAAATCCATATCTAATGCTAAAATCTGCTTCATTTTCTTGGTTTATTATCGAAACAATAGAAACTATTGGAAAAGAGGAATCTTTAGTTTTTAATCTTGATGATTTGTTATCTTGGCATCTTTTATTGTTGGCATCTCTATAGAGGAAATTTCAAAGAATAGTTATTGCATGAGCACAAAGGAGGTGAGGTGAACCATTCATCTTTGGAACTAATTATGAACGATGTTTGAATAGGTTCTTCGATCTCTCTGTTTTCGCCTGATCAGGGGTTTTAAGGGTGTGATTCCTGTTATAGCATGAGTATGCGGGAGCTAAGGGCAACTCCTATAACGTACACGAGGAACTCACGTCGGAGGAAGGTGGCACTAGATTTGGATCTCAATGTTTTGCCACCGAGTGAGCACCGGGACCAGGAGAGGACTTCGGTTCATGGTGGGCCTCATGATGTGCAAGCTGGTCAACAAGACATTAACTTACTCCCTGCAGCGATTGATCTTGAGGTGCTTGATGATGATGTAATCATATCTTCTCCCAGGGCATTTGCAGAAGTATGTGTTTTATTTCTGGTTTCTAATAAGAAAAAGAATATTTGTTTTATTATTCATTTATATTTCATGAAGTTGGCAAGAAAAATGTATTTGGCTAGGTTGGGTAAAAATAAGATGGTTGTGTTAATTAGCTGACACTCGACATAAATCTTGTCGAATCTCTAATAAACATGAATGCATTTGGTGCACGTGATGTTTGTATTTTTATGGTTGTTCTCTGATTAGTGGTTACTGCTAATTGTAGTAAAATATTTTATTTATGTCAGGCTAAAAACAATTCCAGGAGGAATCATGAAAGGACTGTTGTGGTTGATGTAGATTCTGGTAGTTCAGGTTTTTCTTCACTCTTTCTATTTTGCTTATGATGTAGATTTGTATCCAGTGAAATGTGTGAGCCATTTTTTTTTCACTTTCTGTTTATAGATTTTTTGTTAGCTTTGTGTAATGGCTTTTGGGAGCTGTTGTAAATCGCTTCTTTGTTGTGTTTGCATATTAGTCCTTTTTATTTATTTATTATGGAGCTCGCAAAAATATCAAGTTTTAAATCATATTTATGCTGTCTAAGCTTCTGGGCTGTTTGCTGTGGTTGTATATTATGTTCGTTCCTCAAAACATGAAGAAATAGTCATTGGGGTGGTTTCAATTGTGCTCGTTACATAAGCTAATCTATGGATGAAAGAAAGTTGCTGGTAGATTTCCAATCCAAGGGTGTAAACATTTACAGTTTTTGAGCTTTGCACCTAATTTTCTTATTGGTTGGTGAGATAAATCTCTTGGGGTGGGGAATGAGTTAGTAAATCGGCATCACTTGGTCAATTGTGTAGAGTAAATAGACTACCCATCAGGGGAGGAGTTTTATCTAGAGGAAATGTAATTCCAATTTAGATTCTTACGTCTTACATTGATGAATGATGTAGAATTATACACCAAGTTCTAATTTTGCCACCACGTGGAGGAAGCTTGGATAAGAATGTGAGGCATTTGTTCATTTTGGAAATCCATACCAAATATTCAACTTTTAAGCATTCAATTCATGGTTCAAAGTAGCGGTCGATACCGATACGAGTCGGCGAAGTCGTATCTGACTCAACAATTGCCGAAACGATACCGTTAGACAATACATATAACCCCTGAGTCTCGAACAACTCGGCCGATTCGTTGGAGTTGTATCTGTGCCAATCGTGAGTCACCGAGTTATCATCACTGAATTGGCCGATACGGTTCTGAGATATTGCGGTATGACCTGAATCTTTTGTTGTGTTCAACATTTTTTTTTTAGGCCGTATTGTTCGATACGGTGTGGCGACATTGCAACCGATGTGTCCCAGAGTTGTCCGAGTCGATGATTGATACCACGACCTTGAATCATGATTCAATTATTATTCATATGCTTGTGGAGGGGCGAAGCTACTTTGAATGGTGTGGGGACACATGCCCCCACTGACTTTCAACTAACCGTTGCACAATGGTGTTAAGAAAATCACAAGTCTGTTGATTCTAATACAGTGCCCCCATTAACTTTGTTTAAATTGGTATAGGTACCTTAGTTGTCATTCAAACCAAACCAAACAAATGTTTGTTTTTGGACTGAAGATAATGAATGTAGTATGTCCTATTTTTATATTGACGGATGAAAAGAAAACAGTTGTACTGTTAACCTTGACTCTTTACTGGTAAGTTAATGTCCCATAACCCAGTAAAATACAATTGGATGCAAACTGGAAAGTATATTAATTATTAACCAAAAATAATTTTTTGCTCGTCAAAAGAATCAATTTCTCAACAAGATGAGTGATGATATCAATTAATTATTGCAATAAAATGATTGATTTTGTCAAAGACTCTTTGATTGTGGGTATTGAAAATAAATTACTGAGAAATTTAGTATAGAATTAATTAAATGTAAGCAATTTTGGGATTTGCAAGAATATTATGTCTCACTATAATACATAATTGAATTGAATGAACAAAGTATGAATTATCTTGTGCCTTTTTTTATTCATCTTTTGTTAAGGGTGATTGATACTGATTTTATGCTTTATTTAGTGACTTAGTCTTAAATTTTTGTCTATCTCTTATGCTTGAACTTTAAAAAAATTATTACATCGATGAATTTTTAATGTGTTGAGATAGAATCCTTGCTCCGCCCTTGTGCGCATGCTGGGGGATTAAAAAGAAAAAAAATTACTTTTAGTTTTGTTGGTCCTCCAAATTTTTTGTTTGGGTACAATTACAGTTTTCCTGACCTACCTTAATTAAACTCATAATTTCTTGTTACAGAATTACTTGCTGAAGAGGTGCTTCTTTCTTTAGGCCAACGCGTACTGCAATCAGGCAACTCTTGATACCTTCTGTTTTAGATCTTATTGGTTGCAAATAAGTTAGCAGCTGTGGATGTATACTTTTTCTTGGTTTTTGCAATTTCTCTTATGAGATAGAATGGTCCTTTTTATTAATTTCATGCAGTTTTCTTGGCTGACTTTATGTAGTATCTTACTTAAGTTTATTGGTGGTTTTCTTTCTTCTTATTTCCCGTATTTGTGGGGGTTGAATTCCGATTTATATCATTATCATTGCAGAAGAATGGTCATCTAGGTTGACACTTAATAACCGCCACAAGCGTAGAAGAGGTTCTGCGAACCAGACAATTATAAATTGTGACCACTACATAAACTTGGAAGGAAGTAGCAACTATATGGTAACATCTACATTTCTTTACACATTATAATTTTTCAGTCTCCATTGATGTTTATGTGGTGAATTGATCTGTTAAGTTGTTGACATTATATTAACTGATGTTTCCCCATTTTCTATTCCTTCATGGCTAAAAATAATAACATTTGAAATTTTGCTGTTTTTTTTTGTACTTGGTCAACTGGTCGTTTTGCCTTGTTTGTATTGACTATGTATGCAGCCAATTTGCGGATGATTTTCTGAGTTATTCTGCTTGTGTAAATGCTATTTACCCTACAAAAATGAAGGTGAAAACTCTTAGCGGCCATCATACAGCTAGTTTGGAACCTCCAACGGGGGACTAGCTTCCACATTTATGGTGAACTGGAGTGGTTTTTTATTCATATATGTTTGACATTCTATCCGTTTCTTGTTGTTTGATAACTGACAACCTGGAATGTTTTGGTTAATGGCCTAGCATATCTAGTTGCAGATATGAGTTGAACTACTATACGATGTCTTACTGAAATCCTGAATGTATCCATATTCACAGCTTCTATTTAAATTTATGCAATCTGTTGTTTATCCAATTATCAAATCCATAATTGAACGAGTCTGTCATGGGTTTTTTGTGATCTTTATACGGAATGATACTGATGTAAATTGTGAAGTGCCAGTGTTAGATGTGGCCCAACAGTTCTGTCATTGGTTGTGGTGCCTAGTGCCTACCATCTGGCAGACTCTTTAAACCAAGTATAAACTAAATTCCTTCATCTATTTTTTTATTGTCTGCTGTCTTATTTCCCTAAAAGTGAATTACCCACGTGGGGCACTTCAGTTTTGCCTTTAGGGTATAGGATACGAAAATTGGATGTTTGATGACAAAAACATGTCTTTGTTTCCTGGGCTTTATGTCATATGACTTAAGCAGTTGATCGAGTTATGTTTGGGATAATTATGCACCCCCTCAATCTTGCCACACTTCTCAAGCAATTGTTGATGCTTGTGGATTGGAGTACAACATCTGCATTCATCTCTATAAGATTCTTACCTTATTAATGATCTTTTTCATAGTCTTATACATCGCCAACATTTTATGGATCGGGACTGGTTTTTTTCGTAGCATGTATAAGTTCTGTATATTTGAAGTCCTTTGGAATAAGATTTTGCAAAACATTGCATTTAAGCTTTCTTGTAGAAGAGGAATCCATTAATTATTGTTGTAGCTGATATGTGACGAAATGACTTGCTTCACCTGCAGTGGTATCTGTGTTCCCTTCTGTTCCAGTGATCAGATTGATTTCATTTTTCCCTGTCTTGAGTTTTTTTATTGAACTTTACTGAGTTTTAAGATTTATTCATGATCAAATATGCAGAAAGAGAATGCGAGGAATGTGGCTTCACCTCCACCACCACCGCCAAAAGAGCCTACCTTTAACTGTCCTGTTTGCATGGGTCCATTAGTTGAGGAAATGTCAACAAAATGTGGTCATATTTTTTGTAAGGTGTGCATTAAGGCTTCAATAGCTTCTCAGAGAAAATGCCCCACATGTCGGAGGAAAGTCACCATGAAAGATACAATTAGGGTCTACCTGCCTGCTGCCAGTTGAGTGCAAGGTGTGTATACAACTTTGTAATTTTTTGCTTTATGATTGAAGGAAGACGTGAATCTGACTGATTAGTCAAACTGATGATTGATATGCTGTTATGATAGTACAAATCTGATTCAAAATACTGGCTTGTCTGGTGATATTAAGGATTTTTGCATTGGGTCTGAGTCTTTGAGTTATCATTACTCCAGTGAAGAAATCATGCCTATTTACTTCTCAGAAGAAAAGACGAACCATGTGCGTGTTAGATAGTGGCCCATTCACAGATTTATGTATTTGATATCAACATATACTGCCTTTAAGTTTTGTTTCCACTGCCTTTCTCAATCTTTCGTGATACGTAAGAACATTCAAGCTTCAAATGGTTTAAAATTTTTGATTAATGTGTGGAAGCTGATGAATTTCTATTCCTTAACAATCTTTTGGAAGGAATCTTTTTGTGTATGCATATTTTCTTTTCTTTTTGTTTTTTATCAGATTGAAAAATTAATTACATGTTACCACAGGACTCAGATAGGATTGTGCGTGCCGGGCTTTTCGGGTGTCATGTTTTGGCCAGAGTTTACCGTACCTCCAGGCCCAATGTTAGGCGGCTGTAATATTTGGTTACATTCTAGGTACCCCTTTGTGTATGCGTTTACTGTCCATGTCTATGTGACTTGGGCAAAAACTAAGTAATGCACCCCTCACTGGACACTAATACATTCCTTATATTTTTTTGCCAGATTATGGGACAATTTAACCTTTTGCTATCAATATTCGTATATCATATGCCATTTTTCTTGTAAATATATGAACTTGTATCCTTGGTGAGCTACTAATTAAATACGAGTTTTATTTTATCATTTGGTTTGAACTACTGATGGAATATATATCTGACAGGTGTTTGGCTTGGACTTCTCTGGCTTGAAGCAGGAGTGTTCATAGAGGCTGCTTTGGTGAGTTGACCATCGGTGTGTCATTTTTTAAACTTATTACTCAGGAACTCATAGTTTTAACGGTTAGAAAATGAAGTCCTTGGGCGTATAGAGTTGGAGTCGTAGAAACAGCTTCTTTGCAATACTAGGGTAAGACTGAGTTCATTCTACAGCGTCTTTGCAATACTAGGGTAAGACCGAGTTCATTCTACAGCGTCTTTGCAATACTAGGGTAAGACTGAGTTCATTTGACCCTCTTTCCATCTTGCTTGGGCTGCTCTTTTTGAAGAAAGCGAAGTGCCTATAGTCATTTAGGGTTTTGGTCTGAAAAATCAGTCGGGGGTTGAAGTAATCTGTGTTTTGGATATCTAAGCACCTCGAAGAAGAAAACTTGTGAAGCCCTCCCCTACTTTAAAGCTGCCTCTTCACTTCCTTTTACTTATTTCACTTGATGTATATGTCTTCTAATATACTAGCAATAATTCCGTACAGGAAGATACATTGTAATACGAAAAATTATTATTGATTGTGCAACATTTATATTTTAAGTAGTAATTTATCATTATTTTTAAATACGTAATTTAAAATAAAAGTGAACATATAGAAAATAAGAGAGAAAAGAAAGGTAGGTGTGAATTAGTAAGGTTGTCGGACATTGCAGTGTATTGGTTGAGTTGATAATTTGAACCGGAAATTTTTTTAGATAAAAATTAGATCGATGTTATAACTTTCTAGCTATAATATTAGATAGATTATATAAATATATTCAAATCATATAAACTTTTTTAAAAAGAAATTGTCTTCTAATAAAAGATCATCCCAAGTATATTTAAACTGTTCCAGTTAATTATTCTCAAGTTATTTCCTATTGGTGCTATCTAAATCCTTCCATATCATAATTCATTGGTGACCATCTCTGTACGGATCATCAATGTCCATTTAGTAGGATTATTAGTCCTTTTTTTTTTTTTNTAGATAGATTATATAAATATATTCAAATCATATAAACTTTTTTAAAAAGAAATTGTCTTCCAATAAAAGATCATTCCAAGTATATTTAAACTGTTCCAGTTAATTATTCTTAAGTTATTTCCTATTGGTGCTATCTAAATCCTTCCATATCATAATTCATTGGTGGCCATCTCTGTACGGATCATCAATGTCCATTTAGTAGGATTATTAGTCCTTTTTTTTTTTTTTATACAGAGCGTTTAGGCTTGTGTTAATTATTTTTTGGAGTTTAGCGGTTGACCATTATAACTATTTTATCGTCCAGACGTTCTGAGTTCAAATTTTAGGAATTTTTTGGGGTTAGGCATGAATATCTTAGTTTTGGCAAGGATAACTTGTCTTTAATTGAACTAAGAAAAGAATTAGTCGAGGTACGCAAAAATTAATCTTCAAACAAAAAAGCCATCTCACAAAGTCTGGTCTGTTAGGACATCTAATGGTTCTGAAGCTATAGATTCCAACTGTAGCCATGGGTGTTTATGGCCGGGTTGGGTTAGGTTTGTGAAATTTTTTNAAAAAAAAAATTAGTCGAGGTACGCAAAAATTAATCTTCAAACAAAAAAGCCATCTCACAAAGTCTGTGGTCTGTTAGGACATCTAATGGTTCTGAAGCTATAGATTCCAACTGTAGCCATGGGTGTTTATGGCCGGGTTGGGTTAGGTTTGTGAAATTTTTTTGGGGTAAAGACCGGGTAGTGTAGGCTCAAGTTTTTATCCAAGTGAGTTAGCAAACGGGTCGGGCTGAGCTTTGATAGAGGTAAGCTATCCGTAACCCAACCTGCGGGCCTGTGAGCGAGCTTGTTGGGTGGGTCTGTTCACTGATTTTTTTACATATAATTTTATTTAAAAATAATTAATATTTTTGTAATTTAATATTTGTATAAATTATATGTTTGAATCAAAAATAGTCAAAATGGATACAAATAAAATAATGAATAATTTTATTTTTAATTAGCGAATGAACTACATCTAATAGAATGAATACATTCCAACTAAGTTGACACCTATTCACTTATCTATCATTTGCATTACTTTACCTTTTAAAATTTTTATGTTTAATACATGGAAAATAAAATAATATATTATTTTTAAAATTTTAAAATTTTAAATTTTGACAATAAGAGATTTATTTCAAAGTTTCAAATTTAATGATTTAAAAGTATAATTTTTTTTCAAATGAAATGTGGGCGGGCGGGACTGGGCTGGGCTTGATGGGCCATGTAATGGGTTTGGGGGCAAATTTAAGCTCTCTTTTTAAGATTATTGGGCTTGGGTGAGCCAATTATCGGGTCTATCAAGTCTTAAGCTTATTTTTTTTCGACCGAGTAACGAAACCTGTGGGTAATCCGGCTCATGGATACCCCTAACTGTAACCATTGATGAAATGGAATTGAGCATAGCAACTGTTTTGGGTACATTTAAACTTTCGATTTTTTGGATATGTTATTCTATGATTAATTAATCAACGATAATATATTACAAAATATATCTCGAAATATAAGACTATAGTTTTAACTATCTTGAAAACAACCTGCAAAATATATAAATGCATCTCCTCAAATAGTATATTACAACAATTATTTCATATCTCAACTCTGACACAAGATTATCTTGAAAAATATTAAAAATGGGAAAGTATATAATACAATAGAAAAAAAAAATTTGCTCAACAATAAAAATATGAAATCATGAACTCAATTAATAAACAATTATGAACAGTGGAATCAAGAATTAAATTTGACATGTCTCATAGATCAATTAAGATCAAACATAACATTATACTCGGTTCATCTTGATGACATTACAAGTGACGCTTGAACATATAAATTCATACTCATATCGAACAATCATTTCTTGTAAAGCCACAATCATATTTTATAAATTATGTCTCAAACACACTTTGTACATATATTAATTAATCCTAAAATATTTTACCCAAAATCCAGATCAAATCAACAAAAATTATAGTATTAAATAGTAAATAGGAATACGAACTTGGAGACAAACATTAAATACTCTTTATAAAGAAATTTAAAGACATGAACATATATATTGTATACTACTCCATACCTTAATCATTAATAACTTCAATAGATACAAAATTTGAAATACCACGAACAAGATTTGACTGTTTAATATTCGATCCCAAAATCTCATAATTCTTTTCTTTTTTTTTTCTTTTTTCCTTCCTCTCTTTTTCTTCCCTCCTCCCCGGTTTGCTGACTGCCTGGGAGTCTCTATTTATAGAATGGGGTTTGGCAGGAGAGCCTTGGGCTTCAAGTTCATTACACCACGGTTGATGGAATGTGGCGATGCAAGGAAGTCCATGCCTTGGTTTTTTCTTTTTAAATGTGACACTTTTCATCTTTTGTATTTATATGTGTCGTACACATATTTTTACACACATTTTATCATTCAAACACTTTGAATATTTATTAAATCTAATCAATATTATAGTTGTTTTCTTTGACTCGTAATTTTCACGCAAGAAACTCATATTTAAAGTATATTTGTTTATTTAAAATTTTTTAAAATAAATTTTAATTATTATAATTAATAATTTAATTAATATGATAGAGATTACCTTTAATACGGGTCGTCATAGTACAAGCACATGGCCTTCCTCCGAATATGATCACATTAGAAAACACAACCATGCATAGAATGAGAGGATACAGAAAACGCAACAATGGGGTGAGGAGCTACAATCACTTGGGCTATGCTCTTTGTCATCCCAATCCTCTCCACTGTAGAGGCGGCGCTAGCTCCAGCGATGGACCATGCTTCTGGGTATGTGGACATGGGCGGAGCAGGGTTTGAGGTTGGTCAGAGAGAGGGTGACAACGGAGAGCTTTAGGGTTTCAGGCTCTGAATAATAGATATTTCATTAACGTCGATATATACGTATCGGATGTGACACTCGTTAAATATTTGATAATACGTATCGGATACACACCAAATTTATTCAAAATTAAATAAAATAAATGAATACTTTGCGGATACTTCCATATGTATAGAAATATTGTGTAATTTTTAATTTAAATATTTATTTTTTCTTTCGATTTCATATAAAATGCAATACATCAACAATAAATCCATATTACTTTGAAGATACATGGATGGTTTCTAAGTATTATTCACTATCATATGTCCAAAGAGTATAAATGAGTTGATTACAATACAATCTTAACAACAAACACATCTAAGCAAATTATTTAGTTATATTTTGTTTCTTATTCCTTTAATTAATCACGTTCACTTTATAAATATGCTATAATGTGATACTGGTGGCTTTTTGAAAATAAAATTTTTTTAATGTAGTTTATTATTGTTAATTCATCACTAAAAACTATAGTTATTAAGTTATTACATAATAGTACAAATATATGATATACGCTTTAATAAATATATCTTAGCTATAATTGTATCTTATTTTTTGGAGTTTTGCCGTATTGTCGTATCCATATCGTATTATATCCGTATCTTATATCTATATTCGTACTTCCTAAGTTTCAAGAGAAGAAGATGAATAATTATTGAAATTTGAATTTCAAATTTTATGAAAAAAATCCTACTTCCATATCTCCGTTGAGTGTGAATCAAGGGTAACTGTGTCACAGTTAAGAAATTGATTTAAACGTTGAAGACCGCTTTCAACTTCATAGAAAGGGCATTTTGGACTTATTTTTTTAGTACTTACTAAAAAAATAATAATAGAACTCATTCTCAAAAATGTTTAAGTAATTAACTTAACTCATTATAAGTTCTCCAAAGGGACTGGCCCAACAGTTATCACATAAATCTATTCTCATATTGAACAAATACACCCCTCNTTGGACTTATTTTTTTAGTACTTACTAAAAAAATAATAATAGAACTCATTCTCAAATATGTTTAAGTAATTAACTTAACTCATTATAAGTTCTCCAAAGGGGCTGGCCCAACAGTTATCACATAAATCTATTCTCATATTGAACAAATACACCCCTCTGTCATACCACACTCTGTAGGGCTACAATCATATTTTGTAAAATATGTCTCAAGTACATTTCATACATGTATCACCGATCAATTCTAAAGTATTTAGCCCAAAATATAGGTTAACCCAATAACAATTTCAGAATGTCATACTAATCAAAAATATCAATAGAAATATAAGTGTTAGATGATCAAAAACACACTCTTTGCAAAAATATTTATAAGACAGAAATATATTATATATTATCACGTACCTCTGA